TTCTACAAATCTGCAACTTGTGGAGTTTGTTTATTTATCTTATTTTGGTGTAATACCAGAGGTAACATAGGGGGATGCTGGATTGTTAAAAGGAGACACAGATACCTTCATAGCAGGTGTGCTGATTGTGGCAAACATACAGATTTTGACCATTGCCGTGGTTGTAATGCTTGTTTGATCGCTGTGTTGTGGCAAGTAAGTTACTATAAATGTACGACAGCAAAAGCATCTTGTTTCAAGAGCACAAAGGATCAACAACTGCTCTCAAAAAACATCAAGCTTCATTAATTGAAGGGGCGGATCAACCAAGTGACTATCAGCATCCCCTGAGAGGCTTTGGTTCGCTTTTTGTTTGTTTTTTTCTTTGTTCAAACAAGTCACTACATTCTCCTTCTGCACTTTGTGAATTTGATTTGCAAATGAAAATAAAGACTTAATTCCATCTCACAAAGGACTTTGGACCACATGACAACAGTTCATTAGATATTCTCATAGTTACAGTGCAGTACAATTACTCCTTGTACACAAAAATATGTTACCCAATAAATGTGACTCAACAAATGTAACTTGTTACTAGCCACCTCTAGTCTTAACTCAAGGAGGGTGGCAGTTGCTATTTGTATTCCTGAACATGAGTTATTTTAATTAAGAACTTACGTTTTCTTAATTGAATTATTTATATAAATTAACTTCCTGCGATGTTTTAAATATTCGGGATGTACATGTGATGAATTTAATAATTTGCATTAATGTTGAAATGCTCATGCATAACTTCAATGAAAAGCATACTACCGGTACTTAATATATCTAATAAATCAATAGTGTTGCTTTCCTTTTTTGGTTAAAATGTTATTGTATTAATAAATCCATAATTAGGCATGTCGGTGCTTAGGCGCTCTCCATGGTGCTGCCTCTCCTGGTGGTAGTTTGCTACACTCAATCCAGCACCCAGGATAGCTCCACGAGGCAGAGTGGAGATCGATGTCACAGCAGAATCCAAAAAGAATAATAGCGCGTTCCTGTTTTTTCTACTTTAATTCAGTTTAGTATTTTAATACTTTGTATTTTTAGTTCTGTGATGCACTGGTCCAAAAACAAAGACCAAGACCTGATGCACCTGTCCAGTGGAGACAGGAGACAGACAACAGCTCCACCGTGACCCTGACAGAATAAGCAGGAGATGATGGATGGATGCTATTTTAAGATATTTATGGGATTACGTACATTTTTGATTTCTGTATTAGGCTTCTTAAGATAAATTAAACGCTTGTTCTGGCACAAAAAAACTGCAAAAAAAAAAAAAAAGATAAAACTCATGAAAACACGTATTACGAGTTTCATAATTGAGACCATATCATCTAAATCATACTCAGAGGTTTTTTAATAGTTTGTTTAGTAGTTTGGTTTTTTAACATAAATTAATAGCCTTTCTCAGATATAAATCCTGTTTGTGTTCGAAAAAATGACTTGAATAATTTCCCTTCGCAGATTAAAATACAAAACATAGAGGAAAATAAAAACAACATGTTTAATTGTAAGGTCATATCTTCTCGGCTGCAAATTCTTGTCACGTTGATAAATGCGGGTTTAGTATTAAATCCTTCCAGCAGAGGACGCTCTATCATCAGCCAATAAACTAAAGATAGCGACCACAAAACAGGCTTAAATCGGAGGCAACCAGACATTCGCTCAGTTTTTCTGATAAGGTTTTAAAACCAATATGTGTCAGCTCTATCAGCTAGCACTATTATAACCTTTAGTTGGAGCTCTGAGCTTTTTAAGCCACAGGGGGTCTTTCCTCCAAAGCAAATTACATGGAAATCAATGAGCCATCTGTCGGGTAGTTGTGGCCTTTATTTTATTTTATTTTATTTTATTTTTTAGGAGTTTTGTGTTTGGCTATTTAAATCAAGATAAGATCGTTTCTGTAACCTCTTTAGACTGATTTGTATATGATTTAGAGCTGAAAGTACAGTCCTTCCCATTCTGATCACTGATGGCTTTTTTTTTCTTTTTGCAGAAGATGGCTTCCTTCACTACTGTTGCATACTATCCAGTTTTTCCATGATCTGAATATGTTGATCATCAAAGATGTTTCCTTTTGTTCTTCAGGGGTTAGTGAACAACTAAACCAGCTGCTGGCTCTGGGTGCCCCATGCTTAACAAATATCGAGTTTGGGGTAAAATAACTTGTACGAGTGTGTCTATTGCACTGTCACTAGTTTGATTTGGTTTATTTATAGTGTAAATATTTGTAAATGCTTGAAGTTCACAAATACATTTACTATTCAATAGATACCAATTTTGATTAAAACAAAAAACAAGAAAAAAAAAATGTGCCTAGGTTTTCTAAGGACAAATTCTATGAACCACCACCTAAGTATATCACAGACGATTAGTTCCTTTATTTTTAGATAGAAATGCAAGGAGCATATAATGCCCCATGCATTGTTTTATTTCATTGTGCTGTTTTCTTAGTTGTTTATAAGTTTATTATATTGTGCTTGCTGTATTTGTGTATGGTACTAGTTTTATCACAAGGTAGCACTTTTGGTTTTAAGGTAATTTGTAAAGAAAATTATATTTTATCGTACAAAAAAGCACCTTGCCTTACCCAAATAAATGCTATGTACAGTAGTAAATTTGTTTTTAATGAACCTTTCCTATAACCTTACTGCATTGTATGTTTCCAGAAACCTCAGTGCTGTAGTTTTGACAATCCTGCATATCTTGCTTTTGAAAATTATAATCAAAACACTTCTCCTATCATCAGGCATCTTCTAACTCACCAAGATCTCATCAAACTATGCAGTCAATACCTATACTGTTGTCTCTCCTAGACCCACTTCTACACAGGTATATCCTCTGAACCAACTGTCTTTTTACTTTTCATCTTATCAAGATCTTCATTACTTCATCCTAACTTATCATGTGATGATACTTATATGGAGCATTTGATCTTTATAGTTTTATATGTGAATATATATGTCATCATCTTTACTAATTGTTGCCCCTTTGTGATCCAGAATGGTCAATTCCTCTGTTCTGTTTCTCTCTTTTTTCTTCCTTAATCAACTCTTCAAAGTACTCCTTCCGTCTTGCTATCACACTCATTGTACCTGTGAGCACATCAGTAGCACTCCAAACTTTTCTGACATACCATCCTTGTGGATTATGTCGATTACTGGACATCATCCACATCTGTCAAGTCACCAGTCTTCCCCTCAATTTTGTAGGCCATCATTGGACAATATATATGACTCCGCATATAACATAGATTTTTTGAAATTGAGTGATATTATAATTTGACAGGCCCAATTTGTAGTTCTTGTGAATATTAAAATTAAAGTAAATAAAGGGCTTGAAATAGTTTATTCCTTCACCTATATGTACTTAATTGTATATATGTAATACTGATGACAATAAGATTAATATTACCATTAATAACCAAATTATAAAAGATGGTATAAAATAATGCAGTTAAAATAAATTGTTTTTGATTTAGAACTTTAATTTGTGAAATCAAAGAGGTTGACAATAAAACAAATGTAAAACATTTATTTTAAAAACTGCTTATAGGGATTAGCAAGCTCATTATGATTACTGAATAAAATGTATGTTTGTCTGCAGCAAAACTACCTACTCATTTTCATAAATGTTTACAACTTTTTTTTTGTTTGCTTTTATTTATTTTATTTTATTTTTTATCTTTAGCTAAAATTATAACCATTTCCTAAACAGTTTATTCCTTACATTTAAACAAATTTTTTCCTCATAACCATGGGGAACACTTTATTTAAAAGGTGAAACCAGCAAAATTATGGAAAACCTGATTAAGATAAGTGTTTTGCACGTAGTTTATTAAACTGAATGGTGTACTCTGCTCCTAATCAAATTCACAAAACAGTTTAGTCGAAATAAATAGTAGAGTAAAAGGCGCATCATGATATTAGAAGTTTTACAACAGAATAAGACATTAAAAGCACATCCATCCCCACCAATAATTAATAAATAAAGATATGAATTGATAGCAATTCTTTTTTCCATGGTTGACCTTTTATGAAAGAAAACCCTACAGATGAGCACAAAAAAAGAATAAGAATGAAGAAGCCACAGATATACAATAAAAACCAATTATGTATTTGCTGAGGAAATGATAGTGAATAAAATAGGCATCAGTTGAATGTGATCAGAAAATACTGCTAAAAATCTGTGGAAGAGAAAAGACAGGAAAACTGGGAGAAATTCACCACCTCCAACTGATGTAGCTTGACATGAGACAAAGGAAACAAACCAAGATAAAATACCTAAAACTAACATAATAGAATAAACCAAAACTTAATAAGGAACCTTCACATTTCAGAAATAAAAACTAGACACAAACTGATGATATAGAACCAAACTAACAACAATATTAAGCAACACAGATATAACAACAAACTATAAAAATACATAAACAAATATTTACTTGAATGTTTGTGCAAAAAAGCAAACCAGAGATTAACACAGAAAATATGTTCTGAGTTTTAAATATTTTGTGTTCTACAGATACTGTTTTTTTATTTCTAACAAGAAAAGAACTGAAAAGCAAACCAATGACAAACATGCCAGCATTTCAAACATTTATTTGGACGGTATAAAAAAAATGTTGAATTATCTGCTATTTGTCTGTTATTATGATTTTCCTGTGTGCACTTTATTGATTGTATTTATTGCATTATGTCAGAGATACTGGGTTTGATTTAATTTATATCACAATATCTTTCAGCTATTTTTGTTTATTGTTTGTTGTTTTTTAGTCACGGTGATATTCCAGCATGGACTTTGACTAAAGACATTTTTTGTTTTTTCTGTAAAAGCCCAAAAAAGACAGAAAGAAAGTCTATAACAAAGGAAGAAACGAGAACTGAAATCCTCAGATGTATTTCTTTTATTGAACATGCCTCCACATGTTTGTAAAGGTGTTACGAATGTGGGGTGTTTTCAATTATTGCCTCTGCCTCGTGGGACTTCAGCGGTACTTCTCGGAGAGGGCCCAGGCCACGCTCTGCAGGAACTTATCCACAGAAACGTGAACCAGGGGCGTGAAGTCTGCAGGGAAGTACATGGCCAAGACCAGGATGATGTTGTGGGCCAGGATCTGCAGGGCGCACAAACATATTGCAGAACATATTAGAGCAGAAACTAAACGCACAACATAGAGTGAAGGGATGGTATACACTTTACTTGAATGCATTGTTTTCATGAAAAACTACCTTAAAGTTGGCAGGATCCACCCGGAGTTTGAAGGCATGGAGCTCACTGAGGGAGCTCAAGGTGTTAGTCAGATTGTCGATCCCTTTCACAGCTGTCCCCAAGGATGCCATGATAGTGGCTCCATGCTTCTTAACTTTAGCGGATTGAGGGCTCAGATCTCCCCAGTGCGAGAAATAGGTCTTAGTTTGAGGGTAAGCAACGAGCATCCTGCAAAGAAAATAGTTAAAACCTTAAATAAACAGCACTATCATATGCTATTTTAGTTCCTGTAAGGGTTGCATTACTTTACGCATACCTGCCCAAAGCTTCTCCTCCTATTTCGGCGGACTTCCCTTCCACTTTGGCCCAGAAATCCCTAACTGTGGCCTTGTCTTTGTCAGAGAGACTCATTGTTGCCTTTGGGTTGTCAGCTAGAAAAAAATGACCAAAAACGCTGCTTGGGTTAATTTGTAATTGCAGCTTTATATCAAACCTTAATGCACCACGCCTACTTATCAAATCGATGCCACCGCGTTGATAACGAAAGTGCCAAAAACTATCAACCCGTTTGGCTCGATAAAAACTACCACTCCTTCATTTTTACGACAATGCATACGTAAATGCGAGCGGGTTAGAGGAATTACACCTAGGCGCGGCTCGTTGTTTTCTAACGCATATTTTATACTTTACCAAATAAATATAAAATATATTTATGGCAAAATAAACAAGATTCACATCAGACAAAACGTTGCAACTTTTCACAGTGCTTTCAAAAACATGAAAAATGTTTTTTTTTTTTTTTTAAAGAAGATTCTTCATATAGATTGTTGCTGGATTAAAATGATAATAATAATAAATACAGATAAGAAACTCCTAATTTTAATGAAACCAAATCTAATTCTTTTACATGACTCTACACCATCTGTCTGAACTAAATTAACAAGAGAAGTGATGATTAAAATTAAAGAAAATTCTAATCTTTAAGTTAAGAGATGCTGCGACCGTTGATGCAACACTCATTGGCATTTATCCATACTGAATAGACGTCATTTTATTGGCAAGTACACCTCGTCCAATCAGAACCGCTCCTGTCCGGGGGACGGGTCACGGACTGTAAATAAATGTTGGCCTTGTAAACATATCCAGACAGTCTTACGCCTTTGATCAACAAACTCGTTTTTGTGTCTATCAGAGAAGGCTTTTATACCATCACCATGGTCGAGTGGACAGACGCCGAGCGCAAAGCCATCACCTCGCTGTGGTCAAACATTGATGTGGGGGAAATTGGTCCCCAGGCCCTAGTCAGGTAACCTGTAAACAAATTTTATTACATTAAAGGAAAAAAATGATGATCTGCAATAATCGTTGGAACTTTCTCGTTTTTAGGCTTCTGGTTGTGTTTCCATGGACCCAGAGGTACTTTGGAACTTTTGGCGATCTTTCCACCCCCGCAGCCATCGCCGGAAATCCAAAAGTGGCTCAACATGGGAAAACTGTGATGGGTGGCCTTGAAACCGCAGTGAAGAACCTGGACAACGTCAAGCAGGCCTATGCCAAACTGAGTGTTATGCACTCTGAGAAGCTCCATGTGGATCCCGACAACTTCAGGGCATGTCTTTCCGCACATTAAGAAGCATAAACGTGTTTTATTCTGTGTAGGTTGATTTATTCTTATTCTTATTGGCTTATGTCTACAGGTCCTCGCTGAATGCATCTCAGTGGTTGTGGCGGCTAAGTTTGGCCCCACTGTTTTCACCGCTGGATTCCAGGAGGCCTGGCAGAAGTTCTTGGCTGTGGTGGTCTCCGCCCTGGCCAAACAGTACCACTAAAGCGGCAGACCACTAGAGATGTGCAGCAGTTATACAGATCTTCATGACATCACTTTCTGAGCTGCCAAAAATACATTAATAAAAACTCAAATGATATACATGCCTCAGTGTGATTTTTCATGTTCACCTATTGTTTTTAATAAGATGTAAAATATGGACTCATGTTTTCTGAGGACATAATCCTCAGTAATAAACATACAATTTGAAAAGCCTTAAACTCGTTAGTCTTAGCTTTCTCATCATGACCAGCAAATAAAAAAATATAATATGAATAAAAAACAAAATCGATATCAATGTTGGTTTTATTCCTAAAATTTACCTGACAGACCAGCAAGGGTAAAGGTTTGTAAACATCTCTCTCAGACAACTAAGGTATCAACAATAAAACAATTTTCTTTTAAATTCAAACTGACTGTAAACTACATCGAATGATGAAAATAAAATAAAATAAAAATCTAATAACTTTATCTGTATTCGTGTTTTTTACTATTCCCAGTGTTGCTCCTTTTAAATCTTATTATTTTTTTTAACTTCAAATCTATTTGAAATATAGTTTAAGAGTTAGATATAGCTACAGATGAAAAAATAAAAAAACATTCAGCAAACCTTTCCTCATACCATCGATATCATTTTTATTTGGGTGGGGCAGACCTGAATGTCGAGATAATTAACGTTTATGGTTTAATCAGCGCAAAGCAGCTGGAGCAAACTTGGTACGATCGCCCAAGACAGAGAGAGGAGAAGTTATGCTTGGAAATATTTTATTAGATCGTGTTGTACTGTTACAAAATCGTATTCCAAGTATTTATTGATTGCATGGCGTCATGGTGAAATGGACAGAAGAGGAGCGCCGGATCATCAGAGGAGTTTGGGAAAAGGTTGATATTGATGAGATCGGCGAACAGCTTTGGGCAAGGTAGTTTGTTTGTTCAATTCTAATTTCGAAATGATATAGTGAGTTATTAGATTTAAAAATCTTTTTAAAAAAACAACAGCAACATTTATCTCAATGGCAATTTTGTTTTTGTGGCATTTATTGAAAGCAGCACAGTGTTTTGTCTCACCGTCAGGCTATTTCAGCACCAGGCGCTGTCCATCCAGTGAGGATGAATAAGTAGACTTTATCATTTCAAAAATACCCTTCGATTTTTAGTCTTCTAAGAAATTACAGATGGTTTGTCAAAACTATTGTAAAGCTACTCTTCTATGCGGGCGGATTTATTCACGTACAGAGATATACAGTATTACTGGTTTAAGTTTTTTTTTTTTTTTAATCAACAGAGCTCTGATTGTTTACCCATGGATAGAGCGATATTTCGGTGGTTTTGGGGACATCTTCACCACTACAGCGATTTTAAACAACCCCAAATTGTCCGCCCTGGGAAAGGTCGTTTTGACGGCTGTTGACAACACTGTGAAGAACATGGACAACTTTAAAGAAATGTACGATTCTCTAAGCAGGCTTCACTACGAGAAAATCAAAGTGGATCCGGACAACTTCAGAGTAAGCCACTAACGTGATATTTAGGTTACATTTAGTTTATCTAAATTGTTCTGTTGTAGTGCTTCATTGGTATATATTTTTCTCAAACATTAAATCACTTTGGTCATGATTCGGAACTTTTTGGTTCTGTCTAAGTTTTCTTTTTGAGTTTTTAGTTATGCTTTGTTTCATGTCTTTCTGTGTTTTCTAGTTTATTGGTTTCATTTCCATTTTGTGTTATTCTAGTTGTTTTTGGTTATATTTTTTGAGTATTTCTTGTTTACCATCTGTTGCCCTCTTGTGGCAATCTCCTTCTCCTAGCTCCCTTCTTGATCCTTCTTTCCACACCTGCTCCCAATCTACTGATTAGCCTGGTCTTTGTTCAGTCTCCTATTTATACACCTTCTGTTCAGTCACTGTTTGCTGGTTCCTCCTCGGTTCCTGGCTCCTCATGTGTGTTTTCCCTGATGTGTCCAAGATTTTGGTTCCGTTATTTATTTGTTTATTTGCCTCAGTTGCCACCTATTTGATTTATTAAAACTGCAAGATACACTTCAGCTTCAGTCTCTGCATTTGGGTCCCCCAAAACCTCCACCTAACCTGACGACTTTACTGATTAGTTATAAGTGACAGTAGAGGGATATTTAGTGACCCAAGACGTTTTACTTATGTATATAAATGACCGATTTGTTTGTATGACTCAATAGGTGACAAAGAACACTTGTTGATCCAATTCATGACATGGGGATTTTTTTTCTTCCGCAGCTGTTGGCAGAATGCATCACCATCATCATCGCCTGTAAACTCAAAGCTGAGCTGAACCCTCAAGTCCAGGCAACCTGGCAGAAGTTCCTCTCTGCTGTGGTGGAGGCTATGAGCAGTCAGTACAAATAAAACAGAATTAATTGAGCATGGAGGAAAATAAACCAATGAATAAAACGTATGTTCCTTAAAAGCCTGTGTTTTCTCTTCAACGTATGAGTTGCAAAACCGTGCAAGTGTGTAACGAGTTTCTGTGTCTCTGTATGACCCCTGGAGGCAATAAAGAATACTGCAACCCTGCAAGAAATACGTGTTGATTTATATATATATATATATATATATATATATATATATATATATATATATATA